GCGGACGCCAGGCCACCCGGCTAGGGGGGAGCAGGATGGACAGAGCCGCTGGGGCCAGGAACCGAGGCCGGTAGGGAAGGATGGACTCCCGGACCTGCCAGGACAGGCAGCCCAGTGACCACCCCAGCAGCAGCAGCAGCAATTGTAGCAGCAGCAAGAGTAATTGTGAAAGGGAAAGGATCCGGAGTCAGATGAAAATGGTGATCGGGCAACTGGAAGGCATCTTACAGGAGCTCAAGGAGGTGGCCAAGGAGCTCCGGGAGGTAGGAAAACCCCAGGGTGCCATCGCATCCCTGCTGCCGACCCCAAATGGGGGTGCCCTGTCCCCGTCCCCCTGCCTGACCCCTGCCTCCGGGGCCAGCTCAGCACCCGCAACCCATCGGGTATGCAATAGGATTTTCCAAAAGAGGGGGGAGAAAAAAATAGACACGCTTTGCAAAATTGCTCTTGACCTTGACACCAGGGTTTGCTCGGGGTCAGGGGGCCCGGCCGAAGCACCGGCCCTGCGGGTGCTGGTGGTGGGAGAAGCACCGTGGGGTCACGCAGTGGGGCTGGGGGAGCCAGTGCCATCGGCACCGTGCCACAGGCAGCTCTGCCTTGGGGGGAAGCTTGGGGGGTGTTTTCCAGGGAGCTGGATGGAGAGGGGATGGTGGGTCCCTCTGGCATTGCAGAGAGCACCAAAAATATGGCATCAGCCCTGGGTGCGATGAGGGGGGGTCCACAAGGCGGGCAGGGGGCCAAGACGACTGGCTGTCCCATAGCCTGGCTGTCAGGATCCATTGCTCCTGCAAAAAAAAACTGTCAGGGTCCATTGCTCCTGCAAAAGAAAAAAAAATATATATATACACATAGAAAGTGTAGCTGGAGTTTCCTCCCAGTGAGGAGGCACGGCAGAGTCGGTTTGGTGGGGAATTTAATATTTCTATGGCTCAGGTGTTTGGGCCACACATCTCCAAGGTGGAGAGGAAGGGGATCTGGATGGGGCTGGTAATTTAGGACATCTCCGCAGGCGACGGGGGAAGTGGTGGACGGAAAGCGTGCGGTTAGCCTCGAGCACGGCGTGGCAGCTTGCTTTTGCAATAGGGCAGGCGGGCGTTTGCATCCTCTCCGTGGCCTGAGCCAAGCACGGGGTTATATCCAGAGCCGTGCGAAACTTTGTCTCCCCCCAGGTAGGGCAGAAATTGGTGGAGGTTTTGCCACGGGGCCACCATGGAGCAGCCCCGCGTGGATCGGTGACATTTGGGTGCCACCGAGAGAGCGCTGATGCAGGCGGACCAACGTCATCCTCAGCACAGATGTGGCCGTGGTCAGGGAGGTGACATCTTCCAGCCTGAAGCATCCCCTGGCATGCAGCGTCCTCCTTTGGGATGGCTCCGCTCGGTCCAGGAGAATTTTAGGGAGGCCGTCCCGCCGGGAAAGCCAGCACCGGAGGGATGCCACGTCCCACCATGCCACCCCACTGGGTCCCCACGAGGGCTCGACCTGGCCACGGCATCCCTAGAGATTTTCCTTTCTCTCATGGCTTTGCGGGTCCTTCCTGCAGCAGAAAGCAAACCCGGCCACCCAAAGCAAAAAGCCCCCCCACCCCGATTCCCACAACGCCAACGGGGGGAGCCCAAAATCCCTTCCACAAATCTCTGATGATTAAAAACAGACATAATAGTAATAATTGGGAGGCAGAGCTATTTTCCATTTAGCCCGAGCTCACTTCATGCTCCTCCAGGAGCTTAAAGAGGCCTTTCAAGGGAGGATGATGGCAATTGGCCCCTTTTATTGAGCCTATGGATTTAAGGCCAGGCAGGACCACCACCATCATACGAGCATCCCTCCTGCCGAGGATGTGGAGGGATAAGGACTACCGGGATGGGACAAGTCTCTGACCGTTTCACGGCTGAGGCTGGGTTGTGCTTCCCACCAAGCTTCGAGTGGCTCCACAAGGTCCCCGTCCAGCTCTTGGGGCCAGAAGGACCTTGAGCATCCCTGCAGCATCCTTGGTAGGCTGCCCAAGTCAGGTTGTACCAGCCTGTCTCGGAGCAGAGAAGAGGAGTAGGTGGCCTGAGGACACAGGGGAGGGGTAAAGGGCTCTCAGCATTCCCTGTGGAGGTGTTTTGGGAAGCAGACTTAGAGGAGGGTGGAAGAGCTGAGCGCAACAGGTTCCTGTGCTTTGAGGAGCAGAGGGTGGCCAGAGGACACCCGCCCTCTGCCCCTTACCCCAGGGACACCCTGCTCTTGGGGCAGGGAGAGGGTCCATGCCCCATGAGGTGGCTTCTCCAGTTGTTGTTGGGAAGCACTGCCTGGAGATGATTTTTCCATGGAGCTGGCACATCCCTAAGCACCAGTGACCTCCCAGGCTGTGTCCATAGCTGCCCTGGAAGAGCCCCTCACGTCATGGGACAACATGGCCAGGTCAGCGTAGAGCCAGCCATGAGGTGTGTCCTAAACTTCAACCACTCTCAACTCCTACAACATACCCATATAACTTTGCAGCAATTAGCTGAATTTATACAAAGCAGCATAAAACCGAGTACAAGAGCAGGCTCCAGAGCTAAAACACACCAGTCCAACCAGGCTAGACTGGGCTCCGGTGACTCCAAAGAAACAGGTCTGGTTTTCCCCAAACCAAGCAGATGCTGGGCATTAAAGGCTTTGGAAATTCAACCCCTTGCCTTCTTAGATCACTCAGAGCAAGCTTGATGGGAGCACGTTACGTGGAAATCTCTTTCAAGCCCACCCAGAAAAGTATGCGGTAGACACCAGGCTGGCAAATCATTAAGTTCTAGGATATTGGTGAAAGAGAAGTAAAAAAAAAGCCCTTGTGATTGTCTACCTTGCAGATAGTGATGCTCTTCCTCGGCTGGCGGTGAGGGCCAGGACATGGGGACAAGGCTGGGAGACAGGCAGCCCTGCAGCTCCAGGCAGGGACTGATGGCCCCGAGCCTAAACGGGCATGGGGGGGGGGGTCCTAGGAGGGGCTGCTCAGGGTCATTAAAGCCCATTAGTGCCTGCAGGGCCCTGGCACTTGTGAACCTGGTGTATTCTCCAATGGAGATGCCAAGGAGGCTTTGGAAATGTCCATCCCTGCGGCCACCTCCTCTGCTTGGCGCTTTGCCGGTGGGTTGGGGCACGGGGCTGGACGTGCTCGGTGAGGGCAGCGGTGGACCCAATCCTGCTGCACCAGAGGCACCTGCGGAGCCAGAAAACCTTCACTGGGTGATGCTGGACCTGCTCCTTCCAGGTTCTCCTTGCAAGAGGAGCTGGGTACCAGGACTTCGCAGGTCTGGAAGAAGCAGACAGGTCATAACCACCTTGACAAAAAACAACCCCCGAAGCCATCAAAACCCCTGTGTGGGCACAAGGGCTTTCACCCAGGGATGATTCCTGCTCTGAAACCACTCGCCAGCTCCAGGCACAGCTGGCTCTGGCTCACATAGGGCTTTTCTCCCAGGTTGTCCCTGCTTCAGCAGAGATTTTGATTTCCAGACTCAGCCGGGATTGCGGGCT